AGACAAAAACCGTCTAAGAGTAAGCACAAATGCTAGATTGTGAAGATTTCAGTAATTTTTCATGAATTAATTATGGTAGTACCTGATGCATGTGCATTGTATTGTCAACAGCAGACCATATTTATGTAACAAAAGTATCATTCTTTCCAATAAATACCTAAAATATAAAAAGAAGATGTGGTATGATTGCCAATGTGACAACTCTCCACAAGAGACCAAAATGACACATAAATTAACAACGATAGGTCATGGTATGACCTTCAACAATGAGCAAAACCGATACCGCATAGTCAGCTATAAATAGCCTCGAAATGACAAATGTAAAATAATTCAAACGAGAAAACTAACGGCCTAATTTATGTACAAAATAATGAACGCAAAACAAATATGATACACAGAAACAAACGACAACACCTGAATTACAGGCTCCTGACTTGGGTCAGACACATTCAGAATGTGTCGGGGTTAAACATGTAAGCGGGAGCCCAACCCTCCTCTAACCTGGGACAATGGTGTAATAGTACAACATAAGAATAAACTATAAAAATCAGTTGACAAAGGTTTAATTCATCAGATGGATACAAATAGAAATACATCTAACAAAAACACAGAGTGGACGTGGCAGGTTACTTATACATCCCCACAACAAAAAGACACTTAGTACAGACCTGACATTACTCGCAGTTACTGACTGCTAGTTCAAAGTCAATAACAACTAATTAAAAAAATCATGCATCTAGACAAAAAGTTTACATTTTTAACAAATTTTCGAAATGCTATATTTTGGGGCCAAAAAGGGGTCTTACCGGGCCTACTCCTTTCACCAAACTTAGCTTGATAATGACCCGTAAAAAAAAAACAACACCCTTGTAGATTTAATTGTCAGTTGGTAAAAGTTCAAGGCCACAGCACTTATTAATAGTCTGAAATTTTTGGGAAAGGTTATTCCTTCTTGTGGTGAGAAAGACCCTTATTGATTTTTAAATTACTTGATCAAAGATCTGGGTTACAGCAGCTTTTAATAGACTGGAAAAAAAATGAAAGTATGATAATGTTTCTTTTTTGTTTTGTTCCATGAATTCAAAAATCAAAAACAAATATAAAACCTACCAAATAACAACTTATCGGTGTTCATAAGACATCAGAAGAAAGTTGGCTGATCACTTAAAAATAAAATAATAAGGAGATATGGTATGATTGCCAATGATACAACTATCTACCAGAGTTCAAATAACGTGGATATAGCAATTATAGGCCACCGTTGTTTGGATGAGGTTCGTATTGCTTAGTCTTTATAGTTTTCTATGTATTGTCTTGTGGGCAGTTGCTTACCTTTTCTCTTTTTTTTTTATATAATTTACACCATTAGCAAATCATTTTTTTAGTATATGGATTTTATCCATGATCTTGGTGGAAAATTTTGTTTTCTTGATACCTATTTACGTGTACTATTTTTTTTTCTTGTACCAAGTCAGACAATTTGGGCCATGTGCTGTTCGTTGTTATTATGGCACCCTCAACGGAGTTGGAGTGACGTATTGTTATTCTACGTTTCTTTTTTTATGGCACCCTCAACGGAGTTGGGGTGACATATTGTTATTCTATGTTTCTTTTTATTTTTTTTATTATTATTTTTATTATTATTTTTCTTCCACACTTTTTTGTCCACTCTGGAACTCGGAATTGAATGGACCCAAGGTGATGGAACTATACAATAATGTTAACCACCATGTGAAGATTTGCAATTGGGGGTTGGCACTTTCAAGATGGCCGCCGTTACCATGGAAACAGCAAAAATGTCAAAAAACCAAAATGCTCAAAAATTATTGAAACTTCACACAAATATTGACTGTCATATGCAGAAATGATATTTGACTTTGGAATTTCCAAAATGGCCGCCGTTACCATGGAAACAGCAAAAATGTCCGAAATATCAAAATGCTCCAAACTTAAAGAAACTTCACAAAAATGATTATTTCCATGTGTAGATGCGCTCTTTGACTTGGGAATTTTCAAAATGGCTGCCGTTGTCCTGGCAATGGGGGAAGGGTGCCATCCGTTATTGCTAGCAATTACAAATCTAGTTTCTTATTTTTTTCTTCCACTTTTTTTGTCCAGCTGATATCTTGGAATTCTATCAACCAATATTTGTGGAACTATACCATAATATTAACCAGCATGTGCAGATTTACAATCGGGGTATGGCATTTTCAAGATGGCCGCCGTTATCATTGAAACAGTAAAAATGTCCAAAAATCAAAATGCTCCAAAGTTAATGAAACTTCACACAAATATTGACTGGTATATGCAGATGTTCCATTTGAGTTTGGAATTTCCAAAATGGCTGCCGTTACCATTTAAACAGCAAAAATTTCAAAATGCTCCAAACTTAATGAAACTTCACAATAATGTTAATTGACATGTGTAGATGCCCTCTTTGACTTTGGAAATTCAAAATGGCTACCGTTACCCTGGCAATGGGCGAACGAGGGTGCCATCCGTTATTGCTAGCAATTACAAATCTAGTGTGTCTTTTTAAAAATAAGGAGATGTGGTATGATTGCCAATGAGACAACTATCCACCAAAGTTCAAATGATTTGTTCGTTGGTATTTTAGGGGTTTGGTTTTTTATTGGTGATAATGTGTGGACTTTGGAACATTGTACTGTCCAATATTTCTGATTTCTTGTATCTTATAAACGAAATTGTTTTTGTGAAAACAACATTGCATAACAAATAAACTCATCAGAGATACCAGGATTGAAAATTTGTTTGCCAGACGCGTGTTTTGTCTACAATAGACTCATCAGTGACGCTAAAAAGTTAAAAAGGCCAAATAAAGTACGAAGTTGAAAAGCATTGAGGACCCAAAACTCCCAATGATTTTGCCGAATACATCTGAAGTAATCTTTTCTTGTTGTGGAAAATCCTAAGTATTTCGAAAAATTCAAAGTTTTGTAAACAGTTAATTTAAAATTATGACCATATCAATGACAAAAAATAATTTAAGGAGGCTTTTTCAATATAACAGCCATGGCATGGTATACATGCAGTTGGCAATATGGTATGAAATGGCTGTGAATGGTAAACAACGGTCTTTTCTTATGTTACGAAATAGCAAATGTATAGTGCGAAATGGTTTCTTTGGGTAAGAAATGACTTTAAACAAACGGATTTTTTTCACTGTTGAGGTTTGATAAAGAATTAAAACAACACTTCAAAGTTAGTTAAAGTATTATAACGTTTAGTAATTATTAATGTATTCCGTTTTAGAGTTGTTTTAAATATTTTCTTTGATCTTTTGGTAAAAATGTGACTGTATTTTATATATGTTTACTTTTTGTATCAAATGTGTATGTGACAGAGGGTTTTTGATTAAAGCATTATTATTGTATTGTATGTATTGTTTAAATGGCATGCGTCCGAAACGCTTTTTTGGATTTACCTTCATTTAGAACGCTCAAAGCCAAACATTTTAAAACAAAGGATGTATTATAACCGAAACAATTGAAGAGCTTTATGATCAAAAGGGACCTAAAATAATAGCCAAATCCATCTAAGATCAACTGTCACTGTGGGTGTTTAAACCTAGTTTCTTATTAATTTGTAAATTTATAACGGACAATTTAAGAAAGATTTGTTATAAATCATGTCAGTACTGACTACTGAGCTAATGATACCATCGGCGACTGATTAATAACTACTGATTAATTCAACCTTTATTCGGATAAATCATCTTGTGTAATGCTGATGGCGTTACCCTGCTATTATTATGGATTTTCGAATCGGGTCTATCGGTAAATACGGAAAAAGCCTTTATTTTTTTTCACTGGCTAATATGGGATAGTCGCTTCCGGTGACAAATGTTTAAAGCCTCATCAGACTTGTTTAGATGGAAAAGATATATTTTTGTATTTAACACTTTAAATGATATGCACAAGTTTAAAATACTACAACTTGTCCGTGTTGCAGTCATCGTTCTACATCCGTCAACCAAAAGTGCATGAACACTATATACTGGTTATTTGCTAAGTCAAATAACTTGCGTTAGTATACGTAGATATGATGTAATAAGTAATTGGATATAAAATAAAAATATCCCATCAGTATTGACAAAAAATGCATCGTGACTGAGAAAAGATGTGTTAATATATTATTTCCTACATCTTAACGGTAAGTTTCATAGTTTACATGGAGACTTAGAATAATTAGATTTAAATAAAGGCTGAGAAAAAGGCAGTTTTTGGTCCTTTGTAAATGATCAATCAGATGTATTGATCCTCGACCCATTCAGTTAGTTAAGAACACTATAATATAGCACAAATCCACTTCATTTGTCTTCCTTTTTTGTTTGTTACTAATCCTCTATAAGAATTACATGTTGATCTTTGGTAGAGTTGAAATGATTCAAAGCAGGCAAAGATTTTGGAAAAACTTGCATAATGATTCAAGCGTTTGTTTCTTCGAAGACCTATATTTACACTCTAAATGAAAATCTTGGTAAAGTAACGTTGAACTGGTTGATGTTAATATATTTACTGTAAAAACAATTATATTGTATCCCCGCATCATGTTCATGTGCTTGTCCCAAGTTAGGAAACTCGTCCGTGGTTGTTTTTTGTCATGATATCTGAATAGTGTTTATCATTCGGTGTTGATGTCGGATCTCAGGCAGTCTGTAAAATTTATTCTTACCTTTTATAGATCGGGGCTATTGAGAGCTTGGCATATTTTCTGATGTTGATTGCCTCTTTAATGAAACTTCGAAAGCCTCAATTTTTGCACTTACTAATAATCATTTTTCAATGATAAACGTATAACCGGAAACTGTCACTGTGCGCTCCCATGTATTTAATTTCTACATATACATGTTCAAAGAAACGAAGGTCTTCAAATTTGACATCATTAGTAAAAATATTAAATTATCGAAGTTACTTCTACAAGTAAATGCTTGAAAACCGGTACATTTTTACTTTGATAGTAACAAGTTCACAGGAAATCGGTAGTGAGTGTGCTAGATCTAGATTGGTTAAAATTTCCGGTTTCATTTCATAAATGCTACTTTAATATTTCATTGAAAGTTTTAATGAATGTATAATTAAATTTTTCTGATAGGAATACGTTGATGTTACGACATTTTTTGAATTGGTAAGTTTATTTTTTATACATGTAGTGTAAATCATTTAATTGATACACTGTGTTACAATTCCGCGTTAGTTAGTTAACGTAACAAAATTTATAGAATACGTCAAGAGTAAAAAAAATCACGACATCGTGGCAAACAATGTACAAATTATGGATTTAGCTATTATTTTATGTCTTTTGGTCATATAGCTCTGTAACTGTTTCGGTTCTTATACATCCTTGGCTTTCCACATTCAGCTTTGAGCGTTCCTGACGAAGGTAAACCCAGAAAAGCTCTACAGACGCATGGAATTTATAAATATAGTTTCCGTTTATTTTACTATATCTTTCTATGCAACTCTGCATAAAGTATTTAATATACTTTTTAAAAAATTATTGCAAATCGAATGAAATAGACTGTATAATTACACGTAGGAGTGTATCCTCGAGCATTATAATTTGTTATTGTAATTAACTGTCACCTTAGGTCATTAGTAATAAATAGTTGACAAAACAAGTGTATAGTCATGTCGTAAGTATACCTTTTTATTGAGATATGTTGGGAGATACTACACAATATATTGTTATATCGAGGTTTAGGACTTGTAATCTAGTATAATGTAACAAGGATTTAACACACACTTTGCATTAGGTTCGTATTCAATACTGTACTTTTCGGGTCCCTTTGGTCGATTCTAGGTATTTATTATACACCCCAGATTTTCAAATGTGTATGTTTTGCTGATGAAGATAAACTTTAGAAAAGTGCTTCGGACGCACGAAATTTAGGAAGTGTTATTTCTATATACGGCATTTACATCTGAAATAATTCAAAATATAATTTGTCCACATGCACTGTTATTTGTCCTGACACTGTTTCAATTGATAAAAAAGTTATTTGGTACTCAAAGCAGACCGAGATGAATGCATCGGAATACATAAACACTTGGTATAGTTCCAATGTATTGGAACGTTTGATGATTATCATATATTTGCAGAAATGGAATTTGTAATTGTAATCTTTGCGCATTTAATGCTTTAGTCAATCTGACATAATTTTATCTAATTACATAGAAATGATTTTTATGGGTTAATTTCTATTTCCTCCATCATAAATAAAAAGAAAAATAGAAATCACACGTCGTATATATGTGAGTCAGGAAAAAATATAATGTAGGAAACAAGTCGTTATAGAAGTTATCCGGCAGTATTTGTGATTTGGGGCGTATGATAAACATGCAAATCACTGTGTAATGAGATCATTGTTTTATATAGGATAAAACTAACATGCTTTTATCTTCTTTTGGTTTTGTGGTCAGCCATGCTTGTTCCTATACAACAAAATGTTATTACTTGACATAAAACATATCTATTATATTATATGCTTATTGATTATAATATACATGCATGTTGACAATACGCATATTAATTTGTTGACTAACGCTATACACATGTACATGTATATATACATGATTAATGAAAAAGTCCGTAAAACACGTAAAGAATAAGAAAAGGTCATAGTTCATTTTTTTAAATTCATCAACGCTTAAAATTTAAAATGCGATAATCATGTTTCTTCAGCGAAAGACTCATAAGGGACACGAGTTCCTATCAAATGGAAAGTTCGGCAGCTTTTAAACAATGTATTTCGATTTTTTATTTATCAATTTTCGAGCTAAATTTAGATTTTGAAGTGGGTTCAATGAAGATTTCCTATATAAAGGGGGAAATCATTTTAATGATTAAGTGTACTGTAACAGTTACTGTTATTCCTCCTCTTATTGAGAGATTTTATGACTTGTCTACATCCTCTAAATAATGATGATAAAACACACATTAGTCAATAGTCTAATAAAAAGACAGATAATTATATGGGAGACAACACACGAGATATATCCATCTGCGCTTGCTATACTTTATGACCATTTGAATATTAAACTGAATGTTGTTCTGTTTTAAATGTAATAAGTATAATGCTTAAAATCTCAATCAAGCTGGGTGATGTTTCTAACCCTCATTCGATACATATTTCTAAAACTAACTAGTCACAAACATGTATTGGAAACAATTCCCATAATACATACCATCCCTGCAATGTTCGATCGAGGCTGTTTTGAACCGAAAAGAAATGGAGACAATACCCCAAAATCGAGTAAAACAGACACAATTGCATTACGCCGATTAGTTTTATACAGAGTGCTAACCATATTAGGGAACTGATGATGGCTTCATAGCGATGTTAACCAATTATATAGGACAAGAAATATGTCAGGAGCGATAGCAATATGGCATACACACAATAAACTTGCACTGTCGGAAAATATATATGTGTTTCATTAAGAGCTTGAGAAACAGGAAGAAAAGCGAGACTCGTAAAAGATTTTCACTTATATCGTAGCGAGTACACATTGATTATTATATAAGTTTCGACAATGAAGTATATATTGTGTTTTCAGCGGACATTTATATTCAGTTTTTAAATTCTCAATGTTTTTCTATGAAATCTGCATTGCTTGAACGCGGACCGCGAGGAGAACACTATTAAAGTGATATTGTGATGTAAATATTATTTGTTTGTTCATAATAGAGGAGACGATATTCGTATAGTCAAGGATGCATAATCCTTGGTATAGTATAAAAAATATAACATTGATTATTTGTAAATTAACCTGTATTTAATAGAAAAACAAAGGATATGGGGTATCCATCCATGACACAAAATCAGTACATGCACAGTAAAAAAAACCCACAAAAAGCAAAGGAAGAGCGCTTTTATTGCTGTTCTTCATCTCAAAGTCACAGTGAGGCCTAGGCCTTCAACACGAAGCAAAAAAAAAAATCCTCACTTCACTGCAAGTTTAAGACGGCCCCTAGCACCGGCTTGAGCGGAATTCTTTGCAAAAATAATTTGGATAGACTTTGTAAGATGTTACACCACCTACTCGAGCCCGCTAAAAAAAACATACTGGGAAAGTAGTACATATTTAAAACAAAATAGTTCCTACGCATAAGGGTACATCTTAAACTATGTATCATATATGTTAGTAATTAATGTATCAGATGAAAGGAGAAAGACTGGTGATCCTTGTAGAGCACACAATTTACTGATAATTTTGAATAATAGAAAAATGTATGAATGAATTCTAAAATTGAGGGCATATATACATGTAGCCTGTTTCTCAGATATGAAGTGCGTGGTTTGGTGTATCATGTGTTTGTATTGTAAAATGCATGTTTGTAGGATTTTTTTTGAAATATGTAGAAAAACAGCAACTGATTGTAAAGACTATTACGAAGTAAATGAGTCGGCGTTTTTTCGCGGTTTACAAGCTTAACAATCATCCCTACAAATATATGAGTGACCGGAATTTATAAACATACAATGTATATTTTATTGTTTTGTCTGGATAGTCTTTTGACAGGTTAATAATGTATGTCAGTGTGTTGACGTCAAATTTTATGTAATAACTTTATTGTACCTATATATCTACACATACATGTAATAACAATGTTACTACGACAGTATATATTTGCAATATTAATAGCATGTTTTCTCGTGCGTGTCAGTTTTCTAGAGAAAATGTGTATTCAACATGTATACATGTACAAAGCTAATTCGAAAAGTGAATGGGATTTTAAATTATAACAGTTTCTTCTTATTATCATCTCATAATACTAGTAATTGAAAACGGTAGGGCTAATTTTACCTAATTTATTTCTTTCAAGGGGAATTTTCAAAAGAGTTATTAGATCTTTACTCAATTTTACAGATTGCAGTTTAATGTGTATACTATATAAATTCTAACAGCAGTTAGGATTATTTTTGAATATATGACCGAGTAAGAAATGCAATTTTGATAGATTTTGGCAAATTTGGAATTTCTCTCTAACAAATATACATTTATTCTCAGCAAAAACCAAAACTATGTTGGAGGTAGAGCTATATATTATCTTTCAGATGCAAATTGATTCATTTTGGTCAAAGAAGTCTTTCAAAGTCAAATTTTATTTAGAAAACAAATTGTCTGCATCAACTGTAAAAGTAGCGCTAAATATAGTTTTGGTGTTAAGGTATAAAATATGTAAAATGAATCATTTTTTTTAGTTTATTGTTTTATTGTTTAATGTTAACCTTTCATCAGTGTTTACAACTTCCTTCATTTGAACCTGTTAATGAAACAAGTAAATGGGGAATCAACCAACCTATTACTGAAAGTTGAGGTTATCATAACTTTTACTTCTTATGTCGCAATAAATAGAAAATGCAATGTCCAAAGAGACTATTGTCGATGGTTTTGAACAATATCATCATTTATTTAGTTTTGACTATCTTCTACCTCATCAATTGAAAACTTAAATCAATCTTACTGAGACAAGCGTATATTGGCTTGTAAAATAATGACATTCTATAATCGGCACATTCATGTGCATGCGACCTTTGTCTTGTTGAAATGAATCTTGCCCCTTTACTAACACAAACGTGCATTCCACCAACACTGAAGTCATCACTAACTTATAAAGACGCATTGATATTTTGGAAATGTTTAATACAAATGGTCTTTCTAAGCCTACGAAATTTTGGTTTTCATTTGTAAATAGTTTTAAAAATAAACTTGAAAAGCATAGCTCTGATTTACAGTTTGAAAAAGGTGCATTGATTCAACCATTTTGCCAAATAGATGCTTTTCAAGTTTATTTTTAAAACTATTAACAAATGAAAACCAAAAATTCGTAGGCTTAGAAAGACCATTTATATTTAATATTTCCAAAATATCAATGCGTCTTTATAAGTTAGTGATGAAAGGAACATGTGAGCTTTTGCCATCACTTGGCGTCCGTCGTCGTCCGTCGTCGTCGTCCGTCCGGTGTAAACTATTTCAAACATCTTCTCCTCTGAAACTACTGAACCAATTCCAACCAAATTTAAGCTGAATGATTCTTAGGGTACCTAGAAAACATTTTGTGTCTTATTTTCTGTTTTGTCAAATCATGGCCGCCATGGCTACAAATAGAACATAGAGGTAAAATGCAGTTTTTGGCTTATATCTCAAAAACTAAAGCATTTAAATAAATTTAATGACCAAAATTGTCAATTGACCTCTTTAAAGAAACTTTTCACAATCTGTTCATCTAGTTTGCTTACTTTGAAAAAATCTTCTCCTTTGAAACTGCTGAATCAATTTCAGCCAAACTTGGGCTGAATGAGTTTCAGAGAATCTAGTATAAATTTTGTATTTTATTTCCTTGTACGTCAAGAAACATAGCCACTATGGCTAAAATGGAACATAGGGGTAAAATGCATTGTTTGCTTTTGAAGAAAATATGACAGATACAAAGAACATTGAAATGGCATTTTTAAGCCACTCATTAATATATATTGAAAAGCAAAAATAATCATTGATGAAAGATTTAAGCAAAAAATTACAGGTGAGCGATTCAGGCTCTTGAGAGCCTCTTGTCTCATATACTTATACTTCATGTCCCTTATTATCTCATATGCATACACTTCTTGTCCCTTATTTACTCATGTACATACACTTCATGTCCTTGGTAATCTCAATCACATACACTCCATGTCCTTTGTTACTAATGCACATATGCATACACTTCATGTCCCTTATTATCTCATGCATAAAAACTTCATGTCTTTTGTTATCTCATGTACCTACACTCCATGTCCCTTGTTACTCATGCACATACGCTCTTTGTCATTTGTTATCTTCTATGCACACACGTATGTCCCTTATTATCTCGTGTACATTTACTCCATGTCCTTCAATATCTCATGTATATACAATCGATGTCCGATGTAATCTTATGTACATACACTTCATTTTCTATGGTGTCTAATAGAAATACACACCATATAAAAACAAGGAGATGTGATATGATTGCAAATGAGACAAGTATCAACCTGTGTTTAAATGAAGTGGATGTAAGTAATTATAGGCAACCGTACGGCTATCAACAATGAGAAAAACCCATACCGTATAGTCAGCTATAATAGGCCCCGACTTGAAAAATATGAAACAATTCAATTGTTTCGTGTTCCTTCTTATATATTAACGAACATGTATTGTCACTTGATTTGTCATGTACATACACTTCATGTTCCTTCTTATCTCAATTTTACTGTAAAACTGTAATCTTCATTTTGAACTCTTTCAGGTGAAAATGGTTCCAACTTTGATAAAATCCTCTTAAAATGGCTTCAACGACAACAACTTCAACATCAACAATATCAGTAACGTCCACTGAAAAGAATATTACCGATGCTGCAATTGCCACCAACAACACATTTTCAACATCGACATCGATAACAACAATTCTGACGAATGTAACTGAAACAACATCGTCATACCTTTCAAATGTTACCGATTTTACCAAAACAACATCGTCATACAATTTAAATGTTACCGATTTAAATGAAACAACATCGTCATACAATTTAAATGTTACCGAAGGAGTATCAGTAACAGAATTAACTAATACAACTGGAAATCTTTCTTCAAGTACTGTGAAATTTAAATCAAGAACTAATGACACGGATATTCGGGATATAACATCAAAATTACAGACATCTACGCCGTTTACTTATACGGAACGTTCGGATGATTTGACGATTGTTATCGGAATTCTTGTGCCTATAGTGCTTGTGGCCATTATGGTCGGAATATGTGTTTGTTATCAAAAATACTGGAGAAAGTAAGTATTTTGTATGAGGGTCTAGAAATGGTTTACAGAGTAGAGAATAATGGGCAACTGGTGCAGAATAGAGAACAAAAATTATAAAGAATAAAGAAAAATAGTTTGAAAAAATAAAGAATGGGAAAGAATTGGGTGCTAAAATATAAAGAATATAGAATAATGGCCACAAAATATAAAGAATAGAGAATAATGGCCAAAAGATATAAAGAATAGAGAGAAACGACATAAAAATACAGAAATGAAAAACCCCAATCCAGACCCTCTTAAAAGATATATACTAAAATGAACTAAAATAAGGAGCAATGTTAAGGCATCTTATGAGTTCCTCTTTACATCTCACCCTCCCTGCACAAAATGAAACTTTGTTAACAGTTATGTTGCTCCTAAAAGTTTTGTGAATTTCAAAGTTGTCCTTGAATCTGATAAACATTTATTAAAATATTAGCTAAACATTATAAAACGGAGGCTATAAGGTGACCATGATACTGTATGTTCATCTCCATCCGAAGTTATCTTATGTTGATATTTAAGACGACTTCGTCCTAACGCCTTGAAACATGAATATAATAGAGATATTCAGAGCAAAATGAGAATGGAAATATGAAGTAAATCTAAAACATAAAACTATTTTAACCCCCCTTTTTTCAACTGTTGCCTGTACCGAGTAAGGCTATCTTAACCATGCGTTGTTCTTTATTTGTACAACTTTTTTTTCCGGAGGAGTCTGTTGTTTGTGTGGTTTATTGTACTGTCCAATATTTTTTAATATTCCTGTTGACCTTTCTATGTACAAATGTATTATTCATTAAAACCATGTTTGGAGATTATTTATTTTAAAATTCTGATTTCAAGTTTTAAAAAACAATCAACTGGTTAGGTCTAGTAAATACTGTTATTTTTTTTTTTACAACACAACAATAGTTAGCCGCAACATTTTTATCTCAATAGTAAGAGTTTACTCATAAAACTTACTCAAAACATAAAAGATTGCAAGAGAGGTCAAGGATGGTCCAAGGAAAACTAAAAGATGTCCCTATAAAGAGAAGCCAAAACTTATATAAGTTTTACTTTTCTCGGGGAATTATAGTTATAAAATAAAACGAAGGAACGGTGGAATGATAAGGATACATTTTTGGCCTCCTGATTTCGAAAATCAAAGATTTATTAATCTTTCAGATGTTCATAAGACATTAGGCTGTCGGACATCAGTATTTATATTTTTGAATTTTATTTTATAGATTGGCATTAGTGCTTCAAACTTCTTATGTATAGTGCAAAACAGCAAAAATCTGTCAAAATAGCCTCATTATGAGATAATGTCATTCATATTTCATTATGAGCAACAGCTTTACCCAAAGAGATATTTTGCTACAGAATATGTATTTTACTAAGAAGTTAATGAAGGTAAAACATATTTTTTTGTTTTGGGGGGGGGGGGGGGGGGGGGGGGGGGGGGGGGCTGGGAATGTTGCTCATATATATTTCGACCATAAACTATGCGTGAAATTGCCAGTTTTATGCAAAATATGTAAATTTCGACCTGTTTATGACGTCATATTGACACCAAATGGGACTTTTCTGTACTAAGATCTCCAGCTTATATAAACCTGTTCAAAGGGCATTAAGGAGTAAGAACAAAGAACAAAGACTGGTCGGCTCAGAGTCGGAATAATGTGTCCGGGTAAGGGACATGTCTTTCTGTGGACTGTTACTTTGTGAACTAGCACGTTAAAAATCTTGCTCAAGTGTGTCGGTCTAGTACAAATCAGGTTTTATATTTATATCACATTATTATGTTCTCGTCCTGATTATGCATTTAGTTTTGCCACTGGATATTAAATAACCATCCATCCATCCACTCAAAGAGCTACTAACAGCTAACCTTACTATGCCAGATATGAATATCATAATATAAAACACATAAACATCAACTATATATACATCTCAGCCTCATCGTAAGATATTCATAATTATCAATAATGTTCAAGAATTTTATCTTATATATCCGAAGTTTAAAATTAGACGCAGTTTTAACAAATTTAGAATTAGTGGTTATATCAATTTAGTTCGAAACCAAAGAAGGTTTCTTGCCTACCTGTGAAAACTTACAATATGAAAAGAAATTTTATCATATCAGCTATACTTATGGCACGCCTGAACCACTTTTATTAATTAATCTTAGATTATCTCAGATAAACTAGGATTATCTCAGATAATCCCGGTTTATCTCAGATAAACTAAGATTATCTCAGCTTAATTCAAATTCGAGAAAATCCTAGTTTATCTCAGAAAATACAGAAAATTCATTATCTGGAGAAAATCCCGATTTATCTCAAAATATTAAGAAAATCTAGGTTTTTCTGATCGATTTTCAGATAATCCTAATTTATCTCCAGATAATTAATTTTCTCAATTTCAGATAATGAATTATCTCATTTCTCGAGAAAATCTAGGTTTATCTCGGATTCTAAATATACAAAAGAACAATGTAACGAGTGTTTTAATTGGACGCCACTGAATCCGGCGTTTATAATTAACGTTTTACTTTCTCTTTGAAACCATGATGGTGACGAATTTACTTCCTATTATTGGGTGAACGGGGATGTGCCAAAATATGGGTCATAATTTTGCGAGACTTTATATAAAAATTAGCGTCCTTTTCAGAGGAGGGGCGACAGTCAGCATACGGCACGCAATTTTTACTGATCGATCGCTGTTATTGTGTCATTTATCACTACTCGTGGTGTGAACATCACCGTTATTGACACCTGGACAAGCGAAATTTGTTGAATCAATTATAAAAACAAGTAATATACAGAAGGGCTGATTATATACAATATACATATACTTTGTACATACGTAATTAACAAATTTGGTAGCTATTTCTTTTACACAAACTGACTGTTTATTACCGACGGCTAATTTCGACATCGATAATCATTGAATTCTCATATTTTAATTCATTCAGTCGGTTTTAATTTTTTAATCGTGACAAAGTTTTGTAAAATATTTAATTTTAACTATTGCGTTATTTCGTCATTTGTCAGTAAACAAAATAAATAGCACTAGAAAGAAGGCAACTAAGTAATCCAATACACAAATGCACGATTCAATTATGGAAAAAACAATTATTTCATCATGGTTATTCATTAGACATAATTTTCATTTTGTTTTCAAAATAATTAAATACATAAGAGTTTATATGCCACGAACCTTAAAGCGCCAGTTATTAATTGTAGGATATAAACAATAAATGTACATTGTCTGAATACAAAATGTGTGTGTACTCGCTAACACAGGTGTCATTCGGTTTATCGAGAGAAATGATCGTGAAAGAATATCTAACGGAGGTCAAGTATTGCGAGACGATCGTGAAAGCTCTGGTACCGGATCGTGAAAGAAATTATATGAAAAGTTATTAAATAATCTAATTTAATTAATTACACGGACAAATTTACAACAAAATAAAACTGTCTGTCAAAATGGTCGAACATTATGATCAGTATGTGAGAAAATCCACTTCTAAAAGTACATAGTTTTTACAAAACAACAAAAGGCATATTGCTCCTCGACATTTCAGTGACATCAAAAATGTAAACAAACATGATTTTTTCACAAATTCCAATAAAATAAACTATTTTTCTTCGAAAAAGGGCATTCTATTTGAATGCATCAAATGGTTCTCATAGTTATTTTGTATAAACATAATCTGAAACTTGGTAAAAAAAGAAATATTTACACAAAACTGATATTTCGGATCGTGAAAGATCACGTACTGGTTTATGAAGATCGTGAAAAGGATCGTAAAAGATTTAATGCTACGAAGACGTTCATATTATTCTTCAATTATATGATAATTAATATTTGTTATTGGTATTAAAAAAAACTAGATTGGCATGACTGACCCGGGTCTCTTTTGCTGGTGAATAGGGCTATAATCGTGCAATGCCATTGGATCTAATATCTTATAATACCACACAGACTAGGGTAAATTGTATCAATACCAGTCCATTTGTCCGTCCTTCCTAAGTATTGTTTTTTTTATACATTAAGATGTTTTATTTTGTATTTATAACTTTGAATTCTCATCTTTATGCCCATTATATTTATAAAGCTTGCATACCTGTATGCTATAGGGCCACGGTATTTGATGTATGGTGTACATGTCTGTCTGCATGTTTCATATATGACGTCAATTGTATTTGATATATTGAATGATAGTAAGATGTCTGTGTCTGACTGTCGGTCAGGGTTCATATACTTTCGACCTCATGTTCCGAATTAATTGGCCAAACATAACTTTTACATTTGTCAGTTTCTAAGGTACTGTAAGCATCGGAACACCTATATTTGGTGTACGGGATTTTTGTAGATATCTGTATGTCATGGTTCATCTGACCTTGACCTCTTTTTATGAATCATTGACAATTTTAAGAGTATGTGACACTTCTAGTAAAACCCTTAATATTACAGAAGTTCAACAAATATACTATCATAAGTAAAGCAGACGAGACATTTCAGCATTTGCGCTCTGGTATTCTTTATTCTGTAATATATAGTTGTCTCATTGGAAATCAATCCACATCTGCTACGTTGTATACAAAGATACATATAACAAAATGTTGGTTATCGTTCAATCTCAAATTTTTCATGAAAGATGCTGTTTTTGCTATAAGTTTTTGGTTGATGGTTAACTTTTTGGTTTGAACGTTGCATACCCATATTATTGGCTAAATAATGGCGGTCTGCCTGATTTGTACTAGTCCGATTCTCAGAGCTGAATTTTTCACACTGATTTAGACACGTTTTAAGTTAAATTTTTTTAACTTTAGAGGTAAAGTGTTGAATTTAAAAAACAAATGATAGCTTTCATGTTCGTTCTTATCAAAAAAGTTACTGGCTTCAACCAGTTGCAGGTATATCAAATGGTAAAAGAAATATTGATTTTTGAGTATTAAGTCTGGTCACGCATTATCTTTCACGATCAAAATAATGCG